CCCCCCCCCAAAAAAAAAATACAAAAACCGCCCAAAATCCTGCGGTGACCCAGGTCCATCCTGGAGAAGCAGTTTGCACGTCGGGGTCTCGACTGCTCAGAGACGGCACATGCACCTCAACCGATCTGCTTGAGTTTGCCTGAAGCTTTACTGACGGCAACTCCCAGCGGTCTTAGCGGCCGATGTAAATTCTGAAGATTGCAGCGTTTTTTATTTATACACGCCCGTCGGCTGAAGCTTTGCGAAATCGGTTGGAACGGGTCAGCGTCAGCGTCGAGGGGTTTTGTAAGGTGTAAACAGCCGATGCCGTGGACTGGAAACTCATGATCATTTCCTTGAGTGATTTAGAAAGTTGGGGCAAGGTGTGATCAAGCAGGGGCAAGGACGCTAAGGAATATGCCGATTCGGCGCAACAGTAACGAACGGAAGCAAGCTTCTTCGGGATGTGTGGGCTTTGTCTGTTTCTTTGCGCGAAGTTGTCTGTAACATACTCTGTAACGAAGTCAGAGCTACAGAAGCTTCGGATGAGAAGTCCGGGCAGTACTCCGAAACTGCTGAGGATCTGACTTGTACCTTTTTGAGGTCCTGCAAAATGCCGCCTCGGCCTTGGTAGTCTGTAATCCTTGGGATTTTGATGGGGGGCCGCGTCGTAGGCAGAATCCACGTCTGTTGATATCGACATTACGAAGAGGATGAGTTCCTCTGTCCTTTGCGAGGGCTCCAGATTCCTATGCAAAAGGCTATTGTATTATACTTTTCAGGGTTACGTATCCTACAGTTTATAAGTGATATAGAGGCCTGAATAACAACAAATGTAAACATTATTCCTCAGGTTTTTTTGTGATCATACTAAGGTACCACCAAAACCCTACTCTAATTACCAAGGCCCTAGAGGCTCTATAGTATTAACTGGAAGCGCTAGGGCTTTCTATGGTGATGTATGCATTCGGGATTATGGCTGAGAGGTCTGAGAACTGCGATGCTCAGAACTTCAGCCATACTTTCGTGGTGGTTGTCAAAATTAGGACTCCGTTCGGGTTACCAAACTATAGGGTGCCTACGCCCGACACCCTATACAGTACCGCAAATTAATGTGTTGAGAAACGAGCCTCAACAAGTAGTTATTACGAGTTGTCCCTTCCCGTCTATGTGTTGTTTATCGTCTATATGCTTAGGGTCACACAACTGAGGTTGACGATGGTGCACTGCATGTGTCCAGCACTCAGTGGCTGGATGGACGCATGTGCGCTGCGGAGGCGGGTATGAGCCTGGCATAATAGTATAGCAGCTGTACCGACATAGCGATGGACATCACCACCAATACCATCGTCATCAGACTATTTTCAATCTTGCTCGCGACAGATCTTTATGGAGCAGCTCGTTTGTTTTATTCGGGTACGGCTGCGGCTGCTGCTGCTGCTGCTGCTGCTGCTCGGTTTCCTCCTCTGCTGCGTCCGGGCGTTTGACAGACGAGCTATGTGAAGTCGAGCTTCAGACCATGGGGAGGTTTCGATTTTCTCTGCAAGCCTTTCTATTCAGTATAAGCGGAAATGCAGAAGGTTGGAGGTTACATTGTCGACCACAGAGATGTAGCTTATCATAGTCATAGTGCAGTTCAGCTGTTGCGGTGCGACTATAAGACTCTAAGATATGCCAAGGTCCTTCGAGCCGACGCAGCAGGGTCTGTCCGTCAAGCATGATGGACGGCGTCGGCACCCAGTATTTCAGGAGATCTGTCTCGTGGGGCATAGAATCGCCGATCCCAGGACCACCCATATAAGGTTGTGAAGGCGCCGGCGATTTTGACATTTAGAGGTCGAGTAGGGGCTCCTTTGAAGTGCAGCGAATTGTCAGCCGCACTGAGTAAATCGCTGCATGGTGTGGCGGCTAATGTGGATGGCCGATTTTTGCGTTTCTATGGGTTCAGATGCATACCTTTAGCTGCGATGTTCATGACGGTCAGAAACGTGACTGCCAAGGCGTTTTACAGCCCTGGACGTGCTGGGGCTGTCGTCGGTAGGCCTGTCGACAAAGGCCACATGCATGCTGTGGGGCCTTATGCCTATGCCTAAGCATCTGAGCAATTTCTGCTGTGTTCCTTGTCTTCGGCTTATCTTGTGATGGAAATGGTGAACATGACGTGCATGACGGGTGATGAGGCAGTTGACTGTTGTCGGCGATTGAGGTGGTTCTAGTTTCGATGGTCGTAGTAGTAGTAGTAGTAGTAGTAGTAGTCTACTATTGCCCCTACGACGACGAGGACTGCGATGACGACGACGACCACTACTACTTGTTCCTGCTCCTGATCCTGCTGCTAGCACTACCACTACCACCGTAAGCCCTAGTGGAGCAGTATCAACAGGAACAGAAGTAGTAGCAGTCGTAGTCGTAGTAGTCGTAGTCGTAGTAGTAGTAGTAGTAGTAGTAGTAGTAGTAGTCGTAGTAGTAGTAGTAGAAGTAGCCCGGGGACCCGCGGTGGACCCACCGTTTAAGAAGAATAGGAATGTACGG